TTATTCTTTTATAATTTTCAACTTCAGTTTAAAAAGTTCTAATCATGGCCTACTAAATTGATTTCACAGTTCACAAACCGGTCATGACCCACAGTCTAAAAAGCACTGGCTTAAGATGAATACACAGATTCCCCCCTCAAGGAATCTATGAGCTGTGAGTCTCACACAAACATAATTCAGAGACATCTTAGAGTTGGAAAGATCTTAGGTTCAATTGGTTCAACAACCTACTGTGTAAGAGATTCTATAGCATCCCTGACAGAAAGTGACACACCTGAAAGCCTTTGCTTTTCAGAAGCAGGGCAAAGTTCGGTGGCAGAATACTGGCCCAGCATACCAGAGGCCCTTGGCTCCCTAGCACTGCCAAACAAATAGGACAAATTGTTCCCTTTCATTTGGTACCTACCATAGGGTTGTCATGTAGAGTCCCATTAAAATAGTGTAGAAATTAATTCAGTTCTTAAATATACCTGCAACTTCTTCCTGGAAGATAATTTGGATCTTTAATCGGTCTAGTCTTGTCTAGGAGGAGAAAGAAGGAAGAAAGCAAGCCAGGAGACAGAGGTCTAGAAAGGGTCCTCTCTAATGGCCTCAAAGAGAGTTGGATTATATTCAGTCTTCAGCCTGGGGGGGGTGGGGAATGGGGACAGACAAACAATAAATGCTACAGTAAAGCCTGGGAGGATAGAAGCCCCAAGAAAAGCTTCTCTGAGGTGCTAACTGAGCAGAGTCTTGGAAGAATAACTACAATCAGACAGGGGCAGAAAAGATAGGAAGTTCTCAGAAGAAATGACCCCACACATTTGTGTGGGCTCACAGAAATGAAAGCCTTAAGCCTTTGCATATAGATGAATAATATACAACATGTAGCACATAGTTTGAGTTAATTAAAAATAAAATAAAAAGCTTCTTAAGAAGAGAGCTAGAGAGAGAGAGCTCAGCAGTTAAGAACGTTCTTGAAGTTCGAATCCCAGCACCCACACAGCAGCTAACAACTGTCCGTAACTCCAGTCCTGGGGATCTGACAGTCTCTTCTGACCTTCACGGGCACTGCATGACATGGGTGCACTTACCTACATGCAGGCAATACATGCATACACATAAAATAAAAATAAATAAAATTTTAAAGAGAGAGAGAGAGCTAGTCAAAAAGAGAGACAGGGACAAGACCAGCTCAATCTATGGAAAGGAAGACATTCAGAGACTATGTATACTGAAACTCTCAGGTTACTGAAGGTTTCTGAATGTGCAGGATGTTATTTCAAAATTTTCTATGTACAAGTGCACCTGAAATCTGGCTTTACAAAGACCAAGAGTCCAGACAAGTTCCACATCTTTGTTTTACTCTAGAAAAAGTATACACGGACTTCAGAGATTCAAAATTCTGTAAAAACAGTCTTGCTTACCCAAAAGCTGCGATGTGCATTTTGAGCTCGAACAGCAATGAAATCCTATTTATTTTTCCTTTTATCCTTCTGTTAATGAGCATGAGCCTGGTTTGCAGGTGATTATTTTCTTTACAAAAGCTATAGACTTTATTAATCAAGGTTGTGAGGGGGCCTAATAGATTACCATAATAAACCATTTTGCAAAAAGTAATTTTTGCCTCAACAATAACAACCTTCATTATAATGAGGTTTCTAAAGCTACTATACAGATTCTGTGCAGGCATTAACTATCTAGTAATTCTGGCTCTGCTGGATGTACACTGTCAGTGCCCTATGAACCTCAGCTACAACGCAGGTCTGTCTCCGGTGAATACAACCATGGTATGTGAGTCACTTTGCAATTACAGCTGCCACCTGGAAGTATATTTAAAGCTTGGGAACTACAAGTTAAATCTCTGTAAGACTCCGCCCTGGTCTTCCAGTTTCAGGATGAGTAGAGTTCAGGATTCTTGACTAATCAAAGCATAAGTTTTATTACACTTCTATTAAGGGCTGCCACCAAAATTACTTTGAGCTCTAGTGTAGATTTTAAGGACACAAGATGAATTGCTTGGGCTGGTTCTTTCCATAGGGAAATCACTTTAGAGAACCATTTCTGAAACTTGGGAGAAAATGTACGTATCAGGCCTGTAGGCTATCAATCACATACATGTAAATGATTTGGGGAGGGGGGGACATGGACCATTTACTAATGAGACATTGCACTCAGTTCTCCGTTGCTACCCTTCTCCAGTCAAGTAAATTGCTATGGCACTGGGATAGAGAAACACATGTCACTTGAAAATTTCAAGCCTGGATCTGAATCGGTGCCCGAATTCTCCTTAAGGATATTATTTTGGAGACAAGCCCTTCGCCCGTGGTCCAGCTCCCTACACTAGGCACTGTCTGAAGGGTAGCTGGGCCAAGGTGTCGAAGTGAAACTAACAAAAGTAAAACTGCACAGCCAAGTGCCTCTACACACCCTCAGCCTTTGTAACTTCTTGCCCCGGATAGGCGCCTACAGAAGACTTCGCCTTCCCAGGGTAGAGCCTGGTCTCCTCCGCTGTGATTCCCCACTGTCCGGGGGAAGTACAGATGCAGCGACTGTGTGCAGTACCCGTCTGCGGAAGTTCAGTGTTTCCACCCTGAAAGGAGGCAGCGGTTAATCCTGGTCCCAGAGCGTGAGGCCACAGGGCTGCGGCCTAGCACGCCCTGTGCTTGGCGTTACAGCCGCAAGTCCCGCCAGCCCCACCCCGAGCCCCGCAGTCCCCTAGGCTCCCGCCCGGCGCGCCTTTCGGGAGGCTCACGCACAGCAGCTCGGCCTCCCAACCTGCCGGGCGCCGGGGGTGGCCGCGAACTTCCAGCCGGCAGAGCCAGCACGTCAGGCCCCAGCGCCTGGGCTCTGGCAGGGGTCGCACAGGGTCGCGCCGGACCTCGCCGGGTCGGCCCCCACCAGCCGTCGCCTCCACCTCACTCCTTCACCCCGCCGGCCCGAGGCACGTGCCGGATGACAGCCCCCTATAGGTTCCATACCTGCCACCGGAAGTGAGCGAGGAGGGCAGTATAGGCATTTCCTGTGACGCCAGCGCCCGGACTCCATTAGGCAGCAGCTGGGGGAAGAATCAACACACCAGGGAACGGAGCGGCGCCGACCGAGGACCGAGGCGGCAGCTGC